TACAACCCAACCCGCACATTTGGCGGGGCGGGGCGGGCTGGCCCGCGGGCTCAGGCCCATTTTGACATCTCTACGTCTGGACATAAAGAAGTGGGAGATCAATGTCTACGACTCCTTGGCCCACAATCCTGAGGAGTCCTTGCAAAGTCGAGCGCAGGCATTGGCCCCACTTACCCACTTGCTGCCACTTTTACTCTAACAGTCGGGCTATTTTCAGAAATTGAGGGTAAAACCTATAACTTACCCTTTCACAGTTAAGATTATGCCCGCAGATGAGCAATTAGTCCAGGATGATACCTTCAGTTGTGGTCCGTTAGCATGCATGTACATAGAGCGCATGCTTGGGGACGTCTTTCCGAACAAACCGACTACAAAAGATATTGCAGAGTACAGAAAGAAGATGGCTTTAGCTATTTTTGCAAACGGAAAGCTTGTGGGATCAAACTAAACCTTTGTGGGATTTTTGTATTTATGTTGTTTGTGGGTTGAATATGTCTACACTGTCATCTGTGAATATTGTTGTTGTTTTTGTGTGGAATTTGCATTATGTTGGGAATTTGGTAGACTGATTCATGTTGTTGAATTTCTTGAATATTGAGTTTGTTGTTGATTTTGTTGAACATTGAGAAGGAAAAAGCTTATTTAACAAGGTGAATGTCCGGTCTAGGTGCTCCCCAAACCGTACTAAGAAAATTTGAACGTACTAAGGAAATTACTCCTAAATAATTATTTGATTGTAAACAATCGTAAAATCTGAGAAAAACTATTACAATTGTTGAGATGCAATTTGTTGGTTGAACTATATAAAACACACAAAAAAAAAAAATTCGCTGCGGGACGCGGGGCTTTACTTAGCCGCGGCCGCGACGAGTTATTTTTGGGTCCCAGATATCAGACTCCTGTTTCAAAACTTCGCGGCCGCGGAGTATTGTCGCGGCCGCGGATATAGATCGCGGCCGCGGAGCGTTTATTCGCCGCGGTCGCGGCGAGTTAATTTTATGTTCCCAACTGCAAGTTCCTGCCTCTAACACTCGCGGCCGCGGAGTATTGTCGCGGCCTCGGATGTAGATCGCGGCCGCGGAGCGTATATTCGCCGCGGTCGCGGCGAGTTAATTTTTTGGTCCCAACTGCAAGTTCCTGCCTCTAAAACTCGCGACCGCGGAGTAACGTCGCGGCCGCGGCGAACACTGTATTCGCGACCCTCACATAGTCGCGGGACGCGGAGATCTCGACTTTTAATTCTCTTTGTGCAGATTTCTGGCCATTACCACCCATTAACTTTCCTTTCAAAACCCTAACACACGACCGCGATTTTTCTTGCTTCCGCTCAAACATCAAATTCATCAAAACTTCACAAAATCATTGCAAAGTATCGAGTATTCATCTTTGCAATCGAAATTACTTCATCCCAGGATCCTCCCTAGCGAGTTTACAGAGAATTTGTAACTACCACTCGGGAACCCTAGCCAACGTCTGATCCGTCGGAGATCATTATCGGAGTCGTCTCCCACCAGCAAGGCTCGCCGGAATTTGTCCCCTC